CACTAGCGCCCCTAGATGGCGCTGATGAGTATAGGGATTTACATCTGCCTTGCTATATGCCGGACGGGTCGTTTATAACTGAACCTCTTAGTTTCAGGAGTATCAGAAACAATAGCCATTTGTATTTTGTGATAAATTACACGTTTTCATCTCTTGCTTCAGCCACAACCACTTTGACATGGCTGAGATGGCTGCATGACATTGCTCAGGGCGGGTGATTTCCTGCTGGTGACTACAGTGAGCTTGTAGCTCCTACAGGAAGCCCATGTGACAGGCTGACAAAACAGGAGCACAACTGAGAAACAGGGACAGAGCACTCTCACCCTATAACAGGAAGTGACTGAACAAGGGCCTGTCATGGCAGGATCACCATGTATTGTTTAAACCCTTTCACTGCCAGAGCCATTTTGTGCACACATTAAAATGTAGAGTAAATGGTGGCAGTAGCAATTTTTTTCGTATGTCACATGATATAAGTGCAACTGTTTATCAAACCCATATTTTCAGTGACAAAATTCTGCAGCATGTATAAGCAATCGCAAGGCTTACAGCCGCAGTAATCACTTCTACTAGAGAGCTGAGAGCTTACTGTGATAAGGCAAACAAACCCTTAGAGCAGCCGGGAACCTGTTTACATGTTGGCAGCAGCATAATGGTTCCTGCCATGTAAACAGACACAGCCGGGAGTTTGTTTAACTTTTCACAGCCAGCTGTCAGCTATTGTACAAATCATTTGGCCTGGTGTAATATCCTGGTTGCCAGGAGCTGGGCGGGACGCTGGCCAGGGGGTCCCAGGTTGCTAAGAGACGGGTGGAGATGGGTAAGGACCATACACATTTTCCCGGCCAGCTCTTAGCAACCTGGGACGCTCTGGCCGGTGTCCTACTCGCATACACATCTCAGACATCCCAACCTGCAAAACCTTATTTCAGGGAGGTTCCCGTCTCATTTCAGGGAGGTGCCCTTTCTTTTTTTTGGGTTGTTTTTTTACAGCGGCCGTCGTCAGAATATAACTCCTAGGTGTGAACTGGGACTAAGTATAGGATATACTATATGTATATATTAGGGATGCACCAATACTAGTATCGGTGCTGATACCGAGTATTTGGGCGAGTACTAGTCCAAATGCTCTGATACTTATCCCGCTACCGGAGGGAGATTTCCTCTTAACGGCCGTGCTGCAAGGGAACATAGAGGCGGCTTTCCAGCTAATCAGGAAGCCAGGCCATGGGTAATGACTCGCGGCCGGCTTCCTGATTGGCCAGGAAGCCGGCTCCATGCTGTTTGGCTGACTCCATGCTGATTGGCCGGGAAGCCTGCATCCCAGCCAATCAGCATCAAGACAGCTTTCTGGCAAATTAGAAAGCCGGGAGGCGAGTCATTACCCACGGCCAAGCTTCCTGATTGGCTGGGAAGCCGGCTCCATGCTGATTGGCTGG